TTTAATGTATCAAGATTTTGAAGACTCAGCTGTACAGGCAGTCCTGCAAAAAACGGTATCTTGTGAAAGGAGTGTTCATAAGCATGTTGCTGGAGAGGTGCTATTCAAAAATAATTAGGTTGCAATCCCAATTCCATATGCCTGAAAGTAAGCCCTTTTGATTGCAGTAGGATCTATTTCTGTGTATAAATGGTTAGGATTGTGCTGTTAGGCCTGTTCTTCCAAGAATTTTGATATAATAGACTATTAATTTTGATATAATAGTACTGTGGCTGCAGTACTTGCTGAAAATGAAACAACATATTTGGCACAGAGAGAGGGGGGGAGGAGAGAGATTGAAATTGTGTGTTTGTTTGTCTACAATCATTATTTACAAATACTTATGGATGGCCACTATTGCTGAGGCTGAACCCCATTTATTTTTGTGGTGTCCAATTAACAATTGCTATTAAATTACTATTACAAATGTGATATTACAAATGCGTCTGTAACCTGAAGCGTATGCAACCCGAGGTACCACTGTATTAGTTCACGTGGTTTTTTTAAAAAAAGATTACTGTAATTGGTAAAACGTGTGACTGAATTGTAAAATATATTAACGTCAACAATATACAAAAAGCATTTTTTGCTTTGTAATCTTAAAGGGGGAAAAGGTGACTAGACATTTCAATGTTGCGTCTGTAACATAGATTTAAGGGGCATCTGGTCAATAGAGCTGCTGACCACTGATGGTTCGTGGAAAGCAGTTTGGGAATGCCTGTTGAATACATTTCTCATCATATAAAGGTTGTCAATACTAAGAGACAAGCCCCATTCTCATCTCTTGACTGAAACCCAGTTCAAAACTATAGCAGTTGTTGTTTTGTAAAAAGCATCACAAAACAGAAATGCCCTGCTGGAACATTGTCCAGCGTGCCATTTCCACTAGTAAGTCAACCAGATGTCATAGGAAGGATATAAAGGCAAAAGCCCTCTTCTGCTATTATGTCCCAAGAACTGGTATTCAGAGTCATACAGTCTCTGACCCAAGATTACCAGAATCAGATGGAACAGGTATCATTTGCAAATGCATTTTGCCCTTTAAAGAACTGCTTTCTCCACAGAGGAGCCGCAACGTAGCTGGTCAAGGGAGCCAGGAATTCAAAAAGGTTGAAAACCTCTGGCTTAGTATTGAAAAAACTCCCAATGAGTGGCACGAGGAAGGGGGGGGAGAGAGAAGAATGGGAAAGAAAGGTAAGCAGGACAACAATGGCCTCATTCTCTTCTGTTCACTTTGTAACCTGAGCTGGCTCTTCAGCACTACCAGCTTCCTTGATCTGTGTAAGAACAATGCAGCCCACAGCAAGCTTCGTCCAAGATGAAGTTACATCCAGTTCAAGGCTGCCATGAAAGAAAAGGTGCCCAGCAAGATCCCAAGAGAAACAGCATGCTCCAGGTCAACAGAAACTGATGCACGTCTAAGCAACTGTGAGCCACTTGTTCTGCCTTAGGAGCTCACTGCTCTCAAATGGTGTTCACATTACACTTGTTCAGTTTTGAAGAGGAGGAGAGAACATTAGCTGTAGTTCTCAAGTTTCAATCTTAGTAATAATTCATAGGCTCAGGTACTAATCAATCTTATTTGGTGCACCTATGCAGCACTACACTGAACCCAGACAGGAGCCAAGCTAAACTAGTATACACGCAACAGCTATTAAGGAATGTGCTGCAATTGTTCTGTACAACGCAACACCTTTGAGAGCTGTATGGTAGAAAAGCCACCAAGAAAAACAATTTTTTAAAATCTGCAGAGAACTTCCAACTGTCTGTTCTGTAATGCTCTGGTGTGTTTTTACATTTCTTAAATCAAATTGGTTAAATAGCAAGATCTTAACAGCCACACATATTAAACCATGGTGAGATAGATATAACACATCTAATGATGCACTGGTTGACTAAGGGTTAGGGGAGTAAATGTGTCCCTATTCTGTACTAAATGTGCCCCTGTGAAAATTTAATAAGAACATAAAAAGCAGGGTATCTAGCTAGTCCAGCGTCCTCTTTGTCAGAGAGGCCAACCACAAACTGGGCATGAAGGCGATTGCCCTTTCTTACTTTTGCCCACCCCTCCTCTGGCAAACTGTATCCTGCACATCTGCCTCTAAACAAGGGGGTTCCATTTGCCTCCAGTACAGAAAGTGCTCTCTTCCTCCACTCATTTGTCAAATCGCCTTCTAAAGCCATCCCATCATGCTGTGGTAATAAATTCCATATGAATTGTGGGAAGTGTTTTCTATTGTCTTTAGTAACCCAACTCTACTGCCTATTAATATGACAAGCTCCAATTCTTGTATATAAAAGAGGCACCATCTCCAGTTAAAATAGCAGATGAATTTCCTAATTTCCCCTAGCCTGTGATGAAAAAAACCTAGCATGTTTCCACTGTCATTTTTCAGACTACAGTAGTTTCTCCTAGTTGCAGAGAAAAATGGATTTGAATACCAGAAACCCTCCTGAAATATACAGTGACTTTTTTGTCAATATCGGAGCTGCTACTCCAAGGCAGCTCAGGCCCACCTATGCCTCCGCCTCCCCAGTGTCTTAGAATTACCTATCGACAACAGCTTTAACTCAGATGTTTTTACACAAACAGGTAGTTTGAAATGCAACATTTCCCACTAGCTCTAAATTGATTCAGGCCAACTTATTTGTATCCTTCGCTTACAGATTTTCTGAAATTCCCAGAGAACTGAACTATGTACCTAGCTCAGCAGCAATATTGCCTTCAGAGCAACACTAACTTGGAAACAATGAATGAGCCATCCTTTCTCATCTCAGCGCAAAAGAAAAGCTGACCACCGTATAATAGTGTCCACTGTATCCCATACATCTTTCAAAATCCTGCCTTCTAGAGAAGCACATTGCTCGGCACTTTAAGCACACAATGGTCTGGTTGAAATCTTTTATAAGGCACTGTTTTGAAAAAGCCTTGCATTTGCCTCAGTGTTCGAAACCAACCAGGCACCTTTGGCGACTCAGGAAAGCCCCCTTGGAACCAAGCGGAGATTTCCTGCTGCAAGGTTTCTGGGCTGAGCATCTGGCATTCCCTCCCCAGAAAGCCTTTTTACATGCTGAAGAGACTCCATTGTGAACACAATTAGCTAAGTGTGTGTGTGTGAGAGAGAGACATACATACATATATATACACACCACCCTAGTATTTACAAATACTTATGGTGGACCACTATTGCTGAGGCTGAGCCCCATTTATGTTTGCGACGTCCAATTAAGAATTGCTCTTAAAAATGTGATATTAACAATGTGTCACTGATATGAATTGTGTTCAGGTGTTTCAAAAACATTGAAAGTGCTCCCACATCTGGGGGGCGGGAATGGCAACTAGCCATTCTATTCTTGCTCCTGTAACCCAGTTCCAGGAGGCAAATAGCTTTTCTGTTCCAGTTTCTAACACTGGTTTGCTTACTTTTCTAGTCTTTAAATTATAGCTTGGTTTATTTTGACTTTTTTACTTGTATTTCTTTAATTCTACTTTTCCCTTGTATACAAAATCACCTCTATGATCTAAAAACAGCTGTGGCACAAATGTTTCCATCTGCAACTATATTTCTGCTGCTGCAAACTACTGTACCCTAATCTTATCTGGGACGTTTGATGAAGAAGGATCATTGCCCAGTGGCAGGGCACCCAATTTTCATGCAAAGCGTCCCAGATTCAATCCCTGGCATCTCCAGGTAAGGCCAGGAGTGTGTGTGTGTGTATGTATTCGTACAAATAGCACAATATTTTTTTCCTTTGAACTGGAAAATTTTCTGATGTCCTAGACTAGAGTGTGATCTAACGTAGCATGATTATTTTACTTTTATTTGGTAAACAAAGCTAAAAACTTTGAAACTGCCTAATGTTGTATTTTTTTATTGGCATCCGTTCATACTGCCATCCAAAACAAGTAGAAGAAAATCTGGAAAAACTTACTGAGAGCTGCCAAAGAAACATGCCACATAACACTGAAAGGACTAGAAGTGGGTAACAACTGAACTGTAGAAGTACTATTTATAGCAATGTTATTTTTGCTTATTAATATAGTATTGCCGCATTCCAGAGCCTTTTTTTCAAACAGCTGGCATAATGAATCTGACATTACAGTAATTTGAACTCCAGCCGACTGACGCTTGAAGGTTATACTGTACATGCCATCATGTTCTTCAATTGTATTCCCTTAAGTTAGGTTATGCTGATCTCATGTCTTCCTTCCCATCTCTCCATCTTCTAGAGGTATTTTTTTCTAAACTGCTGTTCTACTAACCTGCACACATCACCTTAATATTGACAACAGCCCCTCCCCCCCCAAAAAAAAGTCTGAGCTCAGCTGGATATAAATTTAAATGAGGGGGGAAAAAAATTGGCACAAACCATTTATGAAAATTGTGCACGCTTTGTGCCCGACCTAATCCTAGATGCCACCGCTGCCACCCACGTACCATTGTCCTAGTTTGGGGCAGACCCCGTTCCCACCCTCTCCTGCAGTCGCCGGGTTGTATCTTCCCAACTATGGCGAAGGATGAAGTGGGGACCTCAGCCGGGTCCACACAAGCCTCTTCCTCCGGCCCGCCTGCTGAGGCGGCCTTGGGTTTTTCCCTAACCCACCACTCTTCCAAGGAGCGAAAACGGTGGGAAGAGAATTAGAGGCCCAGCGAATCCCTCCCAGCCCCGGAGGCAGGACGCGGCGGAGGGAAGGGGCTGTCCCAGGCAGCAGGCGGGGCCCGCCTTTCCCGGCCGGAGAGCCCCGAGGCGGGGCGGCCCCCCGGGTCAGCCCCTGGCGGGATGAGGCGCCTCCGTCTCCCGCGACCGGAGCCCGGGCGAGAAAGAGCCGCGTCCCCCGGGGATCCCTCGCCATTCAGGCCTGGGCGGGTCTGCCCCGCGTCTGCAGCGTCCACACGTGTAGTTTATATCCGTGTCGGAACAGGGCGGGGAGCGGGAGCGGCCCTCCCCCCTCGCCTCACCCAGAAGATGAGGTTGAGGAAGACGAGGACGGTCTTGGAGGACGTGATCCCGCACTGCCCCATGGCCGGCGCCTTCACCGCCTCCGCCGCCGCCGCCGCCGCCTCCTCTCCTTCCTCGGCTCTGGCGACTGGGCTCCCTCCGCCGGCCTGCGCCACGTGGCTCCGCCCCTTTGTGACGCCATCGCGGCGGCGAGGAGGGCGAGGCTCGCCGAGGCTTAAGATGGCGCCGCCCGCGTCACGTGACGCCGGAGGGCCTCTAAGATGGCCGCCGGCCTGCTTCGCGGGAGGAAGGCGGGGGGGGGGCAGAGGATCCCACACGTGACGCACTTGAAGCCGCAGGGCGTCTGCGCACGCGCGTCCCGGCCGGAGGGGCCTCCTCTCGGAGGGGGACCCCCGAAGCGCCTTCCCTGGCCTGATCCTGTCCCGCCCCGCCCTCCCCGCTGGGGTCGCCCTGAGTCCTCGGCCGCCTTCTCGGTGGTGGCGCCCGCCCCGGGGAGCGTCCAGGGAAGAAACAACTAGGCCTCTGAAGGCAGCCCTCTTGAGGGAAGGTTTTAAGGACTGATGTTTGATGGGGTTTCTAATATTCTGTTGGGAGCCGCCCAGAGGGGCTGGGAAACCCAGCCAGGTGGGCGGGGTATAAATAAATATTATTCATATTATTACAGTGGTGCCCCGCAAGATGAAATTAATTCATTCCGCAAGTTTTGTCGTCTAGCGAATTTTTCGCCTTGCGAAGCACGAAATCCCATAGGAATGCATTGAAAATCAATTAATGCGTTCCTATGGTCAAAAAAAGTCCAAACAAAGCCAAATTTGGTACAACAACAGTTTATTAACTGCTCTTTAAAGTCACACATACTGTAAAGAGCAGTTCAAAAATTGAAGGGAAAATAAATTAAGTTTATAAACATGACAGAAAAACATTTAAAAATCAACAAAGTGCACAGCATACATTTTCTAAGACTCTGGGGGACCACTCGAAGAAGGCTCCTCTTCCACTCTTTGCTTCTTGCTGAGGAACCTGTCCATGGTCTGCTGCTTCATCCGCCTTTTCAGCAGCTCCCTGAAAGCCAACATGACCGTTGCATCAAAAGTGTTCGCCTGGTCATGTGCCACGTGCTTGTTAGGGTGGTGCCACTGTGCAAAAGCCTGCACCTCCTTCCACTTCTGGCAAATGTCCCTCAGTTCTTTGGAGGACAGCCGTTCCTCAGTTGCTTCCTCCTCTTCCAGCGAGGCCTGCTCCTGCGCAACCTCTGCCTGCAGTTCGACCAGCTCCTGGGTGGTCAGCTCGTGGTCGTGCTCCTCCACTAGCTCGCAGACGTCCTCCTCCGTGACCTCCAGGCCCATGGTCCTCCCCAAGGCAACAATGTCCTGCACCACTGTTGACTCTGGTGCATCAGAGTCACTTGGTGCCACACAGTCCGGCCACAGGCTGCGCCAAGCGCAATTCAAATTTCTCTGGCTGATCCCGTTCCAGGCCGTGGTGATCATCTTCAAGCAGGTGACGATGTTGAAGTGGTCCTTCCAGAATTCCCGCAGGGTGATGGTGGTGCAGTCAGTCACCTCGAAGCATCGCCTGAAAAGCTCCTTGGTGTAGAGTTTTTTGAAATTGGCGATGACCTGCTGATCCATCGGCTGCAGCAGTGGTGTGGTGTTAGGCGGCAGGAACATGATGTTGATGAAGCTGAACTCCTCCAACAAGTCCACCTCAAGGCCTTTAGGATGGGCAGGAGCATTGTCCATCAGAAGCAAAGCCTTCAGCGGCAGGTCGTTGTCCAGCAGGTACTGCTTGACAGCAGGGCCAAAAGCAAGATTGACCCAGTCCACAAACAGCACACGTGTGACCCAAGCCTTGCTGTTGGATCGCCACATGACACTCAGCCGCTCCTTGTCGATCTTGTGTCTCTTGAAGGCCCGTGGGTTCTCCGAGTGGTACACCAGCAGGGGCTTGATCTTCAGGTCGCCGCTTGCGTTGGCACAGAAGAGCAGGGTCAGATGGTCCTTCATGGGCTTGTGGCCAGGCAACTTGGACTCCTCCTGAGTGATGAAAGTCCTTTTGGGCATCCTCTTCCAAAACAGCCCGGTCTCGTCGCAGTTGAAGACCTGCTGTGGAACGTAGCCCTCCGTCTTCACAACCTCCAGGAACTCCGCTGCAAAGTCTTCAGCCACAGGAACATCAGAACTGGCAGCCTCTCCATGCCTGACCACGCTGTGGATGCCAGATCTTGTCTTGAACCGTTCAAACCAACCTCTGCTTGCCTTGAAGACTTCTGGCTCGCCTGAGGTTCCTGGCTGTTCCCGGATGAGGTCAGCGTGCAAGGCCTTGGCCTTCTCACAAATGACGGCCTCAGACACTGTGTCCCCTGCACGCTGCTTCTCTTCTATCCAGATGAGCAGCAACTTCTCGACCTCCTCCAGAACAGCTGGGCGGTTCTTCACGATCCTGGTGACTCCCTTGGCTGCATCAGTCGCCAGGATCTTCTCCCTCATCTTCAGGATGGTCCCGATGGTTGATGGATTCCTCCCGTACTCCCTGGCGATGTCCGTCACACGCATTCCGCCGTCGTGCTTCCGGATGATCTCCTTCTTCATTTCCAGCGTCACCTTCTCCTTCTTCCTCTCGCCGGCCACCGCAGCAGCAGTCTTCTTGGGTCCCATGGCAGCACAGCTCTTACCTTCGTAAACTCAGAAAAAGAAAAAAAAAATCAGTGATGTGCTTCAAATCCAAAAAATTCAAAAGCACCCAGCCACCCACCACACAGAAATTAAAACCCAGAACCAAGGCCTTGAATCCCAAACACCCCAACCCAAAATCCAAAATCCAAAAACCCCCAAATAAGTTTTAAAAGTTTAACTTACCAAATGGATGCAAGAGAAGTTCTGGAAAAGCTTCAACAATCAATCACCGAAGTCTTCAGAAACCTCAAATGGCTGCAAAATAAGTTTTGGAAAAGCTTCAAAAATCACCAATGTCTTCAAAAACCTCAACTGCTCCTACAGACACCCACCCACCCACCACACAGAAATTGCAAACCCCTCCCCAACTGCTCCCCCAGCCCCTCCCCAACTGCTGCAAACCCCTCCCCAACTGCTCCCCCAGCCCCTCCCCAACTGCTGCAAACCCCTCCCCAACTGTTCCCCCACCCAGACAAAAATTTTTTTCAAAAAATAACAACATGGCCCAATGGTCCCAGATTCCTGCAGAAACCTCTCCAACTGATTTTTCAAAAATGGCCATGGTCCCAGATTCCTGCAGAACCTCTCCAACTGTCCCCCAGCCAGCCAGCACTCAGAAATTCAAAATCAGAAATTTTTTTTTGAAAAAAAACAACCTGGTCCAATGGTCACAGAAAATCATAAAAATTCCCAAAAAAGCCCCACAAGCTCCCAGATTCCTGCAGAAACCTCCCCAACTGTTCCTCCAGCCAGCCAGCACTCAGAAATTCAAACTCAGAAATTTTTTTTGAAAAAAAACAACCTGGCCCAATGGTCACAGAAAATCATAAAAATTCCCAAAAAAACCCACAAGCTCCCAGATTATCGCAACCCCCCCCACAACACCAAGTCCTTGAATCCCAAACACCCCAACCCAAAATCCAACCCCCCCAAAAAAAGTTTTAAAAGTTTAACTTACCAAATGGATGCATGAGAAGTTCTGGAAAAGTTTTGGAAAAGCTTCAAGTCTGAGAAAAGGCTACCAAACCACGTGCTAACAGTTGCTCCTCGAAGTCAAGTCGCAACTGCAGCTGTTCAAGCTAAGCACCCTTTGTTTTAACGGTTTTTAGACAAAGGAAACAAAGTCGCGAGATGTTTTCGTCTTGCGAAGCAAGCCCATAGGGAAATTCGTCTTGCGAGGCAACTCGAAAACGGAAAACTCTTTCGTCTAGCGAGTTTTTTGTCTTGCGAGGCATTCGTCTTGCGAGGTACCACTGTATTACTCTTACGGGCAACGTCCTGACACTTGCAGCCCAGCTATTGATTGACAGGTCAAGTTCAATTACATGGGACCTGTGGAAGTTTCCATGGGGAAGTGTTTTGCTTCCGGGTGTTTTTTTCAGGTCCTGTTTCCTGCAGAGGCCTTTATGGAATGCCTCCAAAGTCATACCAAACTCATTCTCTCATTCTCTTCCTTATGTGGCAAAAAACCGACAAAAGGCACACACTGTCTAGTCACAGGAGGGAGGTCTGCTTAGGGTTGGGGAAGCCCCTAGGTGCACAGAATAACAAAAAAGCTTTAGGCAAGATGCTGAGGCCACAGGAGCTGCAGGGGAGAAAATGGTATTTCTGTGCAATGGAGTATCCTGGAAAAGGGTATGACTGGCTGGCTGCCCTATACATGAGTGGTCCATACTGCAACATTTTGATGTAGGTAGACACCACTTGTATTTCCTGAACACACGTCTACCAATTTGTGCCTAAAGCAAGGGTGAAATTGTAATGTCTGCAACTAATGCATGTAGTTTGTGATGAGCCTTTTTGCTCATTGTCTAGCACGGGTCAGCAAACTTTTTCAGCAGGTGGCCGGTCCACTGTCCATCAGACCTTGTGGGGGTCTGGACTATATTTTTTGGGGGGAGGGGAATGAACGAATTCCTATGTCCCACAAATAACCCAGAGATGCATTTTAAATAAAAGCACACATTCTACTCATGTAAAAACATGCGGATTCCTGGGCCATCCGCCGGCTGGATTTAGAAGGCGATTGGGCCGGATCTGGCCCCCGGGCCTTAGTTTGCCTACCCATGGTCTAGCACAGGGGTCTGCAACCTTTAAGACAAAAAGAGCCACTTGGACCCGTTTCCGGAGAAAAAAAACCTGGGAGCCGCAAAACCATTGTGACATTTAAAACAAATATAACACTGCATATATTGTTTCTTACCTTAATGTCCAATCTGACAGCGGGCGAGAAGGTGACGTCGGGACGGTGCGTGACTAACGCACGCACCGCCCCCATGCAACGTCACAGCCAGTACAGCGCCCACCACAGTGGGGAGTGTCGGGGCGCACAATGCGCCTCCTCCCCTCGCTAGTATCCACCCCAGAGCCGCGGCAAAGGTGCAAAAGAGCCACATGCGGCTCCGGAGCTTCTTATCCCATCATCTCACTAGCCCATTAATCTAAACTAGCCTCAAATGAACAGGGCTAGAAATACCTAAAAATTTCCCCATCTCAATCAAGTTTGCTGTTTCTGGTTAGCTTTGTCCCAGATTATCTTGGGCAGACTAAATATAGGCACAGTCAGGAACTGATTTGGTCTTTCTGCTGCTCTGCCTCATTTTTCTTGGCTTAGAAGGGTTCAAACTCGTACTGTGGTTCACCACAAAAACAAGGTCGATTAAAAAGGGGAACAGCAGGATGATAAATAGTGCTTGTGAAGTTCATTTTAAAAAGGAAGTTGTTCAAGTTTCTCCGGCCCATAAAGGAACTAACTCCAGTTTTTCTTTTTACAAAACTAGCTAGTTCAGCTGGGGTTCATCCTTAGCCACCACCCCCCCCGGGTTCAGAATGTTATAAGCTGTTGCGCCAAAGTACAGGATCCAAGTGTTATTCAGGGCCACACAAGTAATGCAGTGTAAGATGTCTGACACAGAGTGACAATTTCCCCATAATTGTAATTTGTGCTAGCCCCACAGCTGTTAAAGGTGTAAGGCATCACATCCTTTCTTGTACCTGTTTTCACTGCAAGCTGCTTCTGTTGGAAGAGAGTCAGTCTCTTCAGCAAGGAAGATAAAGGAAATGCCTCAGATTCCCTCCGATTGCTTAGCAATAGTGATTAAATGACTGAGCAGCCTCAGCAACAGCGGTGTCTCTGTATCTGCTTAATAAGACTTGGAATGCTGTCTTCATATTTTGCTTTCTCATTTTCTTTATAGGTGTCCAACTGACATTAAAAAAGAAAGAACATGAAACACGAAAGTGCAGGAATGAACGTGAAGATGAAATCATTCAAAGTTCTACCCCAAAATGAACTTAATTCACCTTCAGTTTACCTGGCAACTCTGGGAACTACTCTCAGAAGTAGTTCAAGAGTTTTGAACTGGTTCAGTTAGGTGCCACAATGGAACAGGCTCTCTGATTCTTGGGGATCGCAATGTGTCCATTCTGTTATATGCTGATGACCTAGTTTTGTTTTCTGTGAACAAAATTGGACTTTGCAGGTCCCAATAATATCAGTAGCCTGCTCCTGAGTAACTTGGAGAAGAGTTTTCAGGGAGGAGGTCCCTGTTTTGTGGAACAGCAGTATTCCTGTTGAGATACGGTGGTCAGGCACTCTTTGTACTTACTGGAAACTAGACCATGGTGCCAGCCAAGAACAAGCATCCATTATCACAGGCTGTTATTCTATTTCATCCCCTCAAATCAAGGACAACAATTCAGGGCTTCACTACCTTGAGATGCTGGCTTTTCTGCAATTACGTTGAGCCCTTGTTGAACTTAGGTTTCAACAGATGCCCTCAGCATACTTGGTTGGAATAGCACACATGGAATGGCATTTTTGGATGTCATCAGGTTGCAGATGCACTGCTTGTAGATTTGCCCTTTACATATGGTGTCCAGAGAAATTTTTAAATTCTCTATTGGTTCTCAAATTGATCCTCCCAGGAAGTGATAGTTGAATTCTTAGCCAATAAATACAGATCTGGTAGCCATATTTGCTCTAGCACCTAAGAAGCTTCATTCCAGTTATGTTAATGCTTTGTAATTTTCAGTTTTTATGCTGTAAATGTTGTGTGATTTTAGAGGAATGTTTTGCTTTTTATCCTCTTTGTTCATTGTGAAGGCCTTTGGTGATATACAATAAATTGAAATGAATGATATTGTTACCTGTGAAATGTTGGCAGACATGGATATTGCTCTGCACAGCTTTCTGCGAAATATATAATGTGTTTTTGGATGCTTTCCGAAATGCTTCCTTGTTGGGAAATAATCGTTTGACTATTTTAGGATGCAATGGTTTGTAAACAGATAAAGAACGATGCTAGGAAAGTTACACAACAGAGGCTTGTGTGGCTGTTTCTTGCCTGTGGATTTGAAGACTGATTCATTGAATAGCTGCCTCGTGACCTACTTTTCCAAGAGAGCCTGCAAATGCTGAGCCGAGGAATTGCGACTCTGGTGCCTGCCAGGAACATTATTCACAGGATCAACATGGAATTTTGGACTGGTGACTCAGGGCTTCAGTAGGAAGCATGGGAGCCAACTGCTAGGGGCTGAGGTCCCTTTGCCCCCCCCCCAATAAAATATTGGAGGGGGCCAGCATTCCACCCCCACGTTGATGGGCATTGCCATTAAAATGGTGTGGGTGGGTGCTGTCATGTGATCAATTATGTGGGGTGGAGCTTACCTGCCCCCCCCCCCATTTTAGTCAAGGTGGAACCCCTGGTTGGAAGGGGTTACAGCCTAGGTTTGCTACTATTTGTGTAACTGGAAAAGTACATTTCTTTTGAGAGTTCCTCATCTTGTTTTATATTGTGTCTGGTTAGTGAGCCAGGATTTGGGGATAGCCCATTCACTTACAGCCCTGGGATGTTGGGCTCTCATGAGCATGGCCAGTGGTCAGGGATGGCATGTGAGAATGCATTTCCTTAAGTGTGTGTCTGATGCTAAATGAATCTTAGCTCCAGTGAAGAACCAACTATGCTTTTCTTCCCTAAAAAAAGCTATTGGTTTGGTCATGCACTGTCTTAATCAATTGATTGAAACTCCTTTGATTAACTGACATTTTAAAAATCAGATGGCAGTCCTAGTAATAAGTAAAGCTTGAGTAGCTCATTTGGGAACAAACGTGAAGTAAATAGCAGTAATTTCTTTAATTTCTCTCTCTGATTTCCTGCATCACCAGTGATTTTTGACCAGATGTAATTTAAATTCCTTTCCAGCTTTCTGATTTTATTTATTTAAAGTATTTTTACCCTGCTCTTCAGCCAAAAAAGAGGCTCCCAGAGCAGCTTACAGAGGTCAGTAAAGAGGTAGGCCCTGTCTCAGGCTTACAATCCAGAAGACACCCCAGAAAAGAAATCCGGGAGGGGAGAAAAGCAAACTCAAGCATCCGTTGTAAATGGTCTTTCTGTCACACTACAACACTGCACAAGTTCTACTGCGCTTTGCTTCCTTGGAAATAAAAAATGTGTAGCAGCCGTCTTTGTATCCAAAGGTCAAAAGTGCCCATTTAATTGGGCAACTTTGCAACAGGACTTGCAAGCCCAGACTCACATTCCAAATTCCTAAATTCAGGATTCAGGCATTACTTTCAAGTAAACGGTATTCCACAAATTTGATTCTAGCTGCAGGCTATGAGAAAGCAAGGCCATCTTGTGCATGTTGTGATGCGCAGATCCAGACACAACAGGACAAAAAGGAGCACCGTACTCCTGAAATCTGTTTCTGAGTCATTTTCAGTGAGAGGCACTGATTAAATACTTCTTGACACGTGGTGACCCAGGTGATCCCCTGGTGCACTGGAGGTCTGTTCTTAACCTGAAACTGTTCTTAACCTGAAGCACCACTTTAGCTAATGGGGCCTCCCGCTGCTGCCACACCGCGATTTCTGTTCTCATCCTGAAGCAAAGTTCTTAACCCGAGGTACTATTTCTGGGTTAGCGGAGTCTGTAACCTGAAGCGTCTGTAACCCAAGGTACCACTGTACTACCAGAACTCTCCCCCTTCTTATCTCTGTACATTTATTTTGCACCACCCTGTCCCCAGGATGCACATAAAATAAGTACATCCTTGTGTTGCCCCAAAGCACCACACGTCACATGCTCCCCAGGGAAAGCTCCCCCCCCCCGGTGTTTGCCTGGTTCTAATGGAGACATGTTCCCCAATCTTCCTTCATCCTTCATGCTAGCATGTTAAAACAAGGAAAACATGTCTTTCCCTATGAAACAGTATAAAATTGTTTATAAATGTATATAATTCTTGCTTTTGAAACTTGTTGGTTGTTATAAGAATTTTAAGGTCATACACATAAAAAATATGTTCATAACTGTATATATAAACCACATGTCTGAAACCCCACAGAATAGGTCCTGAACAAATTGACCTCAAAAATTTCTCTGCAAGGTCAAAGTGTCCTCCCCATTGTCTCTTTCCTCACAAATCCTCTCTTAAGGGCACATTCAAGATATGAAGAGGGTGTAAGCCTGTGACCTGTGACCTAGATTCAGGAATTAAGTAGTTATAATAACCAAAGAGCAGCCAAAACCCAGATAATGCAATCAGGTAACTTGCCAGACAGGAGATAAACAACGCATTCAGATTTCTGTTGTAGACCGCCTTTTCTGTGATGTATGTATGATGTTTCTGGGGGTGGTCTTGGACTTCAGGGCTGGCAATTTAAAATGTCTATATAAGGGCTTGCGTGTATGGATCGGGGTCCTCCTCGTCTCTCCTGCATGTGAAGGGGGCACCCTGTTGCAACGGTTAATAAAGATCAGGCTTACTAGCTGCTTTGCTTCTCAATATTCTCTGGTTGGTCTCTGTTATTTTCTCCTACCGATAGAGAACCTACAAAAGGACTCTCTATGGGCTCTTGGGTACCCCATAAGGGAAAAGGAGCAGTTTTTTATCTTTTATCATTGGTCCTGTGTGCCTCTTTGTGCTGTACACCCCCCACAATCCCCCTTTCCTGAGATCATGGAGGCTGCTTCCTGACAGAGTTTCCCCAGGTGTGTCGCCTGAAAGGATCTCCAGGTTCTTCCAGATGTTCTGATTCCCGTATCAATGAATCCCTAGGAGAACCTCTTCCCAGCTCTGCCTAACCTCTGTCTGGAACTATGTAAATTTTACTAATCCTGAGGAATGTGACACCTTGACCTGTGCCTGAGCCACTCTACTCCCACTTATGTGTGATGTATTTCTGATGCTCTACCCTTGGGCCACTGACGTTTGCACAGGGGGTGTCCACGCCAAAATGCTAACCTTTAAAAGTTGTGACAAACTTTGTTCGTGGCCTCCTATCATATTTTTTTCAATGAATCCGGGTACACTTTGAAGCTGAGTAGCAACGGGGAGTCAGTAGGGGGATGGTGAGGCAAAAGACCCTGCCCTCTCAGACTGGGGAAGTGGTGCCATAGCTCAGCAGTACAGCACATATTTTCATGCAGAAAGTCCCAAGTTCAATCTTGGATCCTCTACTTAAATTAAAAATATCTCAGATAGCCCAAGCTGTGCGGTGTGTTTTTTTTTTTGGTAAATATTTTTTATTAATTTTTAATTATTAAACTCCAATAACAGCCACATTTTATCAATATCATATTACCATTCCCATCCAAATATAGATCAATTATACAGCCAATTATAATTTTTGAGTGACTTCCTGTGTGCTGGGTTTTGGGATGCAAAGTTCTTATTTTCCCCTGCTTCCAAAATCTTAGTTAATCCAGTTGCATTAAGACCTGATCAGATTAACTAAATCTTAGTTAATCCAGTTGCATTAAGACCTACAGAGTTCTTGACTTCCATTCATGTTGAGATATTTAATAAAAAGATTTTTTCCCCGCAAGGAGAGTTCTGTATCCTGTAAATTCTCTGTGTGAGATGTTTATTTTCCCATTTGCTTCTTCATTGTTCTAATCATGTCCTGCAGCACCATCTCTTCTTCCGCTTTTCCAATCTTTCTCTTCTTCTGCTGAAATTCAAGCTGCGTCATAACGCTATTTTTGTTGTTTGTGTCTGAGTAAGGGAGTAATCTGGTTTCCCGTCGTAGCTCTAGGCGAATTTCCAGTTCTCCTTCCAATTCTTCGATCTCTTAATCTGGCGTCGCGCCAGGTCTTCTAAGGCCATAATCCGAATTGCCGTCCAGTGGAAGATGCTTTAAATCATTTCAGTGTTCTCACACAGTTCTATTTTTATATTAATACATAAATATAATTCCGTTCTCTTTTTCTCTTCTTGCTTTTTATCAATTTGTTATCGTTTAGGGGGAGGTTTGCCAAATCATTTATGTAGCAAATATAGTATATGTAAAAAAGGGTAAAAACTCCCCTCCTCCCTCACGTACCGTATTTTTCAGTGAAGGAAATCTTTCCAGTTCGAAACGTTGCAACCCAGTAATGGGATTCACTTGGCAGTTTATAATCTTGTCCTCTTCATTCTGCACCTGTCTGTAAATTAGAGCCAATTTCATCCTAATAAACAGAAGCACCTCTGCTCTTCACGGCTGTGTGTGTGTGTCTGGGGGTGTTACCGATATGCGAAGCGCTTTTACACTTAGCTTCTACTGCCTCTTGGGTTCCATACCAGAGCGAGAGCCACTTATCAAGACGATCTACGAGTGAAGCTCACTCCCCCCCCCCGGGCCCTGGGGGAGCTTGCAAGGACAATTACTCCCAAATCATCCTTGTTTTCTTCTGCAAATGATCTCCGCTAGCATGGGAGCTACATCGATTAAGGAAGTAAGCACCAGAAGTGCCCAAGCTGTGTTTTTAGCAGTGTTCCCCAGTGTGGGGCTGGAAGGAAAAGTCAGAAAATGAATAGAAACACGTTGCTCTGGGGAAGCTTTTGGGTCCCATTTTGTGGATGGCAACTTGCAGCGATCTTTGTTATTTGCAACAGCCTGGTTGGGTCTGCCCTCTGGCACCAGGCCCACCTTTGTGGCAGCCATCCTCAGGAACACCCAGCACAATCCAAATTCAGTCCCGTAGAGCTACTGTGAGCACGTGTCTCTGGAAGTTCACATGCGCACACACTTAACACTGCCTCAAACACCTGACTGGGGAGAATTAGCTGCAAGTTGATCTGCTGGCACACCAGGAGGGGACACAACAGAAACCTTGAGGATCACAAACTATTATATCTGGGGCTGAATGTGGTGT